AAGCTAACAGTCACCATTAAATCAGCCCAGTATTTTGCGAAGCTACTAACCACGTTGTGCTCGTCTTCTCCCCTGCGTCTTGTTAGCCGCGCAACGCCGCAAACACAGCCGGCTGACCGCCTTCGAACCGGCAGTAGTGGTGTTCATTTCATTCGGCTGTTCATCGGTTCCGGTGGGGGCATCAACCGCTTTTTTGCCATCCAACTGAAACCGGAGATTTCCTTGAGATTCATCAAAATTGAAAAGATTTTGAGGCTAGAAATTTCGGTGTCATTGAAACGCAGCCAGCTGCTAACCATGCACTTATTTTACAGCACTAAGAATACATATTATCACAATGCCGTAAAAGTCCAGAATAGCTCTACTGTGCATCAAAGCTGTGTCTAGTACGCCTCTAGTGTCATCTTGATCTTAGAAACTAGTACTGGAATTTCACGCAACATTTGTTAGCTTTCGCTCGATGACATATATTAAGATTTGCGCCACAATAAGTGAACGTGAAGCGGAATATTTATTAGCAGTTGTTATTAGTTTGCTACAACAACAAGCGACATGTGATCTGACAAATTCAGAACTCATCCCTTCACTTTATTCCCCACGTTTTCTTTAAAAAAGAAGCATTTTCTTTAAAGAAAAGGTATGAATTGAGCTTTCGGTGTTTTGAGTCTCACGTCTACTTACTAGAGACCCTTCTTCGGATCATAAAGACATCACTTCAGACGCTTCTATAATTTTAGGCACAGAAAGGCAGCAAATCTCTGATAGACCATTTCAGAACAAGAATAGCCATCCCGGGATAACTACAATAAAAAAGACTGTGAGCAAACCTCGTCCAGGAGATTCTGAAGCTGGTGCACCGTCAGGCAGGAAAATAAGACGTTGTTCTGCTTCGATCTTCGCGCAGCATTCCTTCTAGTGTAAGCTCTTGGCTTGCGTTCTTTGCACGAAGATTTTGTTCCACTGTTTGCCCCTACCATCGTTCTTATCAAGCGAAATTCATTCGGTTTGTGCCTAGTAAATTCCACCAATCAATTATTAGTTATACGTCAGCCTAGAGGAATAGATTTAGAGTAAGGCAGAATAAAAATGGATTTAAGCAAGTCGGTGAAAAGATCCATAGCAGCTGCCTCGGACATGTTAGTTCACCAGAGCTGACCAGCTGATTCAAGCAACTTTGGGAGGAAATGTTCGACAACAAAACAACTACAGCAATGTGCAAAGTAACTTCTCCTAGTTGCTAACTATCTTGCGTGAGATAGAAAATCTGCAGCGTACCAAAATCATAAATTAATAGGTAAATCCCACCACTACAAAACACTCGCAATTCAGCGAGTACCACAGAATAGCTGTAGCAAAATATGTCCAACTTACTGGAAGACCAGACCCAACAATATCAGAACGATGCACACGCATACCTTACGAGACTGACGTGGCAACCAAGCACGCTCAGCGTCAAATAATCGATATGTGTGCTGCGAGCGAGGTGTCGGTGCTTTATAAAGCGCCATAATTTTAGGATTTTAGTGCAATACAGCACCCCGGTAGGCTTCATGTGCTGTTTTAGACAAAAGACATCATTTTCAGTGCATTTAGAAACATGTTTGCCGCTCAGATTATCATCCACCTTTCATACTTTCATCCGCAAACAGTGATTATGCCAGTTTCACTAGGACCTAGGTGGTGAGGCGCACCAGGTTTTCCAGCCTCACAATACTCTCAGTATCTCGTTTTCTTCAAAGAAAAAGAATACGTGGGGATTTTGGATTTTTTGACTTTTTACACTGATGTCGTGATTTCAGAAAACGGAGGGCTTAGCTTTTGTCCGAAGGTAAATCAAAACTGAGATTGAAAATGAGATGACACAGTAAAAAGCTAACTGGTTCCCTGGATTCAGATTATAATTCAACTTAGTCCACATCCAACTTAGTCCACATCCACAGTTTCAAATTCATGCCAAAATTTGGCTGATCAATTCCAGTACCATAAG